ATCATTTTGCTGGTTAAGAAGACCTTCAACGGTAAATATCTTTTCATCTGTGTGCAAGATATTGTGCTGGTCGATTCCATTGAAGCACATCAATAACTGATCTGCTCTGATCAATTGATCAACGGTGACGACCAAATAGACTGCATCGAGCTCTTCTCACGCTTTCAACAGTGATTTCTTCAAGCTTTCGATGTTTTTGTGAAGATTTGAACAAGCTTTGGCTTCTAAAACCGAAAACACTGAAAAATCCATTGAGTTGAGATATTGTGATGGTCGATTCCATTAAAGCGCATCAATAACTGATCTGCTCTCAATTTTCGCTTGTTTTTAGCGGAAAGAAGCTGAGCCTTCATTTTTCTTGTAAGCATTAAGTTTGAGATTATTTTCGAGGGTCCAACGCAATGAGGTGCTTGAAATCGCCATCTTCTTTGCCATTTGCCTTGCCAACTGATTTGGCTTTGTCCAAATTCAGTCCCTCACTCGCTTGATGTTTGTCTTTGTGATAACAGTTGGGCGTCTATCGCTTTTTGGTGCATCAGCAATTGTTCGTCTACTTCTTAGTGCATCAGCAATTGTTCGTCTACTTCTTAGTGCATCAGCAATGGTTCGTCTACTTCGTAGTGCATCAGCAATTGTTCGTCTACTGCTTGATGCATCAGCAATTGTTCGTCTACTTCTTAGTGCATCAGCAATTGTTCGTCTACTTCGTAGTGCATCAGCAATTGTTCCCATAGCTTCGTAGCGTTGAATAGTGTGGAAAATGATACTTCTGTCGACTTTAAGACGCTTATGAATCTCCGGTGCCGAGACTCCTCGCTTGTGCAATTCGATTGTCGATTCGATTGGCAATTCGATGAGGATTTTCCAGCCATTCTAAAAAACAGCACATTTTATATGAAAAAAGTTTCAATTATATTCCAAATATAATAAAAACACAAAAAACAACAGAAATGAGAAGCTTAAATCAACGAGTAATAACTCGTTGATTTAAACTTTTAAGCATATAACTTTATCCGTGAACACGCGTGGTACCTTGTTGCGAAAATTATGGCGTACCCTGTACTGACGCATTCAGAAATGTTGTTCAAAGCCTCGATCTTGTTGATCTTGTTGGCTTTCGTGAAAACAGGTTTGATTGGATCACAGGATTCAATTTTTGTTTTATTTAGCACACTTATCTTCCACAAAAGATTATCCGAATGTGCAGTGCTTGGTCAAAAGATATGTTTACAATCTTGAATGTCCTACTCCATTGGATGTCAAAGAAATGTGCAAGTGAGAAAAAGATTAGATGAAAATTTAAATCTACCGTAAATACTGTAATAGTACCCCACCCCCATAATGACGATGCGGAGTGTTGCGTAGTCTAGCTAGCTAGCTTTGAACGAGTTTTTCTCGACACTGGTTTATGCTACAAGGTTCGTTTAGGTATCAAAAAATAGCTGAAATGCAGGGCTATTTTTTGATACCTAAACGAACATTGGAGCATAAACCAGTGTTGAGAAAAACTCGTTCAAAGCCAGACTACGTTCAAAACTTTTGCGACTACGCGACTGTACGAGGAGGATGGGGTACTATTAAAGTATTTACGGTAATAATTCTTTATACTTTTCCAAATATTCAGTGAAACCGAAGTGATGTTAAAGGCTGATTTTGAGGACGCTCGAATCTTTGGAGCTCGAGTTGCGGCCATGCTTTGTGATGGACAGGATTCTGATGAAGGTAAATACGAAAAAGATACTAAAAGTAAAAAGATACTAGTAAAAGCTAAATTCAAACGGCATTTAGTCTTTAGTCTTCAAAATTTAGTCTTCAAAACTCTCGAATGCACACAAGAAGGGAAGAATCGGAAGGAATTCGTAAATAAATGTGGCAGAATGAATTTGAGAAGCACGGACTGTGGGAAATTCGCGGAACAAGCCAGGTTTGGCTTTAAAGGCTTAATAAAGCCATTAATAAGGCCAGGTTTTGCTTTAAAGCCATTAATAAAGCCAGGTTTGGCTTAATTCTTCAAAAAAGGAAGTTAAATTTAGATTTTAAACATTTAAATTACATTTAAAACAAAGAAATTTCAGTTGTGCAATTGACGTGTTGAATTGTGGAAATGAGAAGGTGGTGAAATTCTTGACCGAGGTAACTTTCATTTCATTTCATTTCTAATTTAACAATTGTTTTTTTGAAAATTAAAGGTTTTTAAACTAAATCTGGCTTGTTTCGCAATTTTCCCGCAATGTTTTTAAAATTGATTTTGAGGGTCTATCCCAAAACAGCGCCACCCAAAACAACGCCGATCAAAACAGTGCCGCCAAAACAGTGCCACCAAAACAGTGCCACCCAAAAAAGCACCACCCAAAATAGCGCCAATGAAAAAACACCCAAAACAGCGCCGATGCAAAACAAAGTTTTTTTTTTCTTTTACAATGTACAATTCATTTTTTTTTGTTAGCAGCTTTTAATTTTGATAATTTATTTAAAAATAACATGACCAACAACAATAAACGATAACAATTAAACGATGCATAAAAAACATTAAAATAGCATCAAATTAATAGTCCAAGAGACTCGGAAACATCATAACACCAGCGATGATGAACATAAACGGCTAGAGCTTTCAATTGATCCGTAGTAGAAACTAAAAAGTTGGTGAAAACGTTAAAAAACAGGCCGTAAAAGGAAAAATTTTTATTTTTGTTATTTTTATTGTTATTTTTAGTTAAAATCACTTTAATAAACGCTATCGCAGGTTTCTATGCGCCAAAATAGCGCCGACCAAAACCGCGCCACCCAAAACAGAATCCGACTTTTTTAACCCTAAAAACACAAAAAGTGGATAGAAAAAGTTAAAAACAGCAAAGAAAAAGCAAAAGCAAAAATCTGAAAAATAATTGTTTTTGCTCGTCGCTGTTTTGGGTTTTGGCATTGGTGCTGTTTTGGGTGGCGCTTGGTCGGCGCTATTTTGGCGGCGCTATTTTAGGTACGGCGCTATTTTAGGTACGGCGCTGTTTTAGGTACGGCACTATTTTGGCGGCGCTGTTTTAGGTACGGCGCTATTTTAGGTACGGCGCTGTTTTAGGTACGGCGCTATTTTAGGTACGGCGCTGTTTTGGCGGCGCTATTTTGGCGGCGCTGTTTTGGGATAGACCCGATTTTGATCTGATTTCTCTAAAAGTCACGTTGAAAAGTTTCATTCAGGCTTTCATCAACGACGATGATCATCGTGATCTTTTCAATTGTCGCGAAGAAATCGCAAAAGAAATCGGTATCCAAGTTTGGTGAACGGATTTCAAACAAACAACAAACAAAATTGCCTTTCAATAAATATTTGTTGCAATTTTATTTAGAACCAGCCGAAAAACCCGCTGTTAACAGCGGTTTTTGAATGTTTTTCACTGACTTGTAGGTTTGATCCCTCGAGTTAAAGGGTGCTCGGCGCGACTAACGCCACGCCTCGCGCCCTGCAACAATGCTGGGATCTATCTCTTCGTCTTCCAAAGCAATATCGGGACCAATTCTGATACCCACCTGATTCCCACCTGATTCCCACCCGATACCCACCTGTTACCCACATGGATGCGCTCGGCGCGATTAACGTCACAATGTCGCGCCTCCCCCCTCCGAGGCCCCTGTAATAATACCTTCGTCCTGAGGCAACCCAAATTTGCATACTTCAACTCCATGCTTGAAATTTAGCAATCTAAAGCAAAAAATTTAGAAACGGACGGGAATTGAACCCGACACTCCCTTGAGGCCGTTTTGTAGACGGAACGCTAACCACCCCGCCTTTCCCCAGCCCCCGCCCCGCCGAAGGCAAAAAGGGCCAAGGCTAAGTGGTACTTTTTTTATGGGTTTTTGATGAAAAGCTAAACTCTGAAAATATTAACAATCAATTTAGCGTGGCCGAAAACCCTAGAAAAATTGTTTTAAGCACTTGTCAGAGGCATTCTTGAGGCTGCGCCCACCTGACCCCACCTGCGCCTTCCCCTCAACCCGTATAGCCCCCGTCTTTCTTCTCTTTCTTGCGCACATCTAACTCATTTTGTAGCAAGTCAAAGATTTTTATTCATTTTGACTCACATATCCTCAATTTGCGTTCTCATTGCATTGAGCGTCGCAATCCGTGTGAAATTTGCAATGAGAATTACAGGGTGATCAGAAATAACCCGGACAAACGTTTGCCCCGTTATTTTAAGAAGCAATAAGGCATAATAAAATTTATCAATTAACACAAATAAAGGTCTAAGGGTAACAGCTCAACAGTCGTGTTCAAAATGGCTTCCTTTGTTTTTGACGCAGAGCTTCAGACGCTTGATGAAATGGTCAGCAATGGGCCGCAACTCTGCCGCGGTTATCTTGTCCCAGCCCCGGGATCAGCGCTCGCTTCAGAGACTCCAAACTTCTGTGAGGCTTAGCACAAGCCCTTGACTCCAAAATCGACCAAACACTATAGTTCAATGGGTTCAGATCACACGAGTAGGGAGACCAATGCCGAGATGAAGTCCGGAAAGTTGTCCTTACACCACTTCTGGGTAGCTTTTGCTCGGTGGGAGGGCGCGGAGTCCTGTTGGAACGTCCAAAATTGTCAAATTTGATTGCCGAAATGTTGTTGTGCCCAGGGAAGAACCACCTTTGCGCCATTAAGATGCTTTCGCGCCATTGAGGTCCCTTGGCGCCATTGAGATGCCTTTGCGCCATTAAGGTGCCTTTGCGCCATTAAGATGCCTTCGCGCCATTAAGATACCTTCGCGCCATTGAGGTGCTTCACACAAAAATAAAGGAACAAACTTTACTTAAGGAACAAAAAAACAATGCATTTTATAGTGAAGCTATTCTGAATAATCTCTGAATGTTTTGTGATTGTTTTATGAATAAAAGTTAAATGAAAGATTTTATGATGCTAAGAAATCTTTGTTTTTTATTGTCAACTACTGTAAAACGAATAGAGCATTTTATCTTAATAAACAAGGTTGAAAACGATATCTTATGTTCATAACAAAGATTTATTTTCTATCATATCGTCCCCTTCCCGATTGTCCGTTCCATCCGCCACCAGAGCCGATTCGACCGAATTGCTGTTTTGCGCGCCGGAACTCATCTCCATTTCCACTGACAATCCCTTGAACTCCATGCCAGACACCGTGCGAGAAGGGACGACCTAATTTGTCCCAAGCAGCGCTTCCTCCAAAATTTCGATCAGCCCTTTCGTTCAATCGGAGACCCCAATCCGGGCGTTGCTCTAGGTTCAGTTTACGCTGAAAGAAATGTTGATTACAATATTTGGAAATTTAAGTTTAGAGGTCGAAATTTAATTTTACAGTAAACAATATCGATTTTTTAGATTGTAAACTTTTTAAAAAAGATTCATTTAATTTGTTTTTCAAGTTTCCAGATTTCAAATCAAATTTTGAAAAAATCCCAAACAACAAACTTTTTTTGCAAAAGTCGATTCAGCCAGCAAAACAACAGTCAGTAATAATATTCCCCATGTTGAGATCATCTTTGGTTGAGGTTTTAGTTGAGGAAGTGGATGAGCTCCCTAACTCAAATCATCCTTTTATATTTTCGCCTTAAAAGAGTCTCCACATTCGTAATGTTGGCTACTGCGAGCAGCTGTCTTTGTTAAGACTTTGTTCGATTCTATTTTGTGCGATTTTCACTACGGAAGTCTTTTTGGGATTTCTTTAAACCCCATTCGTAATGTTGGCTACTGCGAGCAGCTGTCTTTGTTAAGACTTTGTTCGATTCTATTTTGTGCGATTTTCACTACGGAAGTCTTTTCGAGATTTCTTTAGACCAAAATAATCAAATCAACTCAATCAAATGAAAAAAAATTATTCAAAAAGAAGTTAAAATGGTTCTTTTCCGTTATACATCCGCAAAATTTGCATCCTTTCATGAAAATGAACAAGGAAAACCACAGAAAATTCATTCTTTTGCTATTTTCTGACGGCCCGGTGGATTCATTTTTCGCTTATCGACTATCGAGGCCGATACAATCTTGTTCTTTCAAATGCATTTTGCTTACTACTCGCACATGCGCTAACTATCACTTTATGAAGCTATCACTCAATCAGAATCCTCGATAGTGATGTGACAAAACGTTGTGCCGAACAGCGATCGGCCTGCGTGTTGGCTCATGGATGGAGGGAACGAAAATTCCGTTTCTCACAATCCTACGATTCATCTATGGATGGACTCAACGGACCTCGATCTAACGGTGGACCTCGATCGACGTTTCTTCAATTGAATGTCCCACTGGATCCGTTTAATTTCTGAATGGAGAGAGATGTCTATCGACAAATCTCGAAAGGTTTCTGAAAACATTTAGCTAAAGATTCTTTTTTAGGCAGAGATTACCCAACCGCTGAATATTAGTGCAATCTGGCTGGCTTTCAATTAATGAGAATCGAGTATCGCTCAACTTTTGCCTTTTCAAACTTGGCTTTGCGCTCGACCAGCGATTGCGCTGATCGATCTTGCTCCAAGAGGTAACGCTAATTTTGATAGCACTAAAAATTAACAGTTTTAGAAAGATTAAAAAAATTTACCTCATCACGTTCTTCATCGTCGAGAGCTTGCTCATCTTTAGATCTTTAGAGCTTGCTCATCTTTAGACCTTTAGAGCTTGCTCATCTTTAGACCTTTAGAGCTTGCTCATCTTTAGATCTTTAGAGCTTGCTCATCTTTAGATCTTTAGAGCTTGCTCATCTTTAGATCTTTAGAGCTTGCTCATCTTTAGATCTTTAGAGCTTGCTCATCTTTAGATCTTTAGAGCTTGCTCATCTTTAGACCTTTAGAGCTTGCTCATCTTTAGATCTTTAGAGCTTGCTCATCTTTAGATCTTTAGAGCTTGCTCATCTTTAGATCTTTAGAGCTTGCTCATCTTTAGACCTTTAGAGCTTGCTCATCTTTAGATGAGCAAGTTCACGGATCTTTAGATGAACGGATGAACAAATTTGTTGCACAATTTATTTTTGAATTGGGCTTATCATTCAACCTTTTGGAGCAAGATTCATTCCGAAAAATGATTGGCTTTCTAGTGTATATGGTCGGTATGTTTTAGTTGTTTTACTAAATGAAACTTTTTAGAAGAGAAGAATTTAATAAACAAGAAGTGCTCACAAAGTTATTTCGTCGCAAAGGCGCACGGAATCAATGCATGGCACATTGTTCAATCAAATAAAGGAGCATGCTCCTTTATTTCATTGGACAATGCTCGAGCAGGTATTTTATTTAACTTTTATTTGATTCTAATTCTAATTCTAATTTGTTTAGATGCAACAAGCGCTTGAAGAAGAAAAGGGTGTGTGTTAATCGTTAATCGATGTTAATCAATGTTTCGTCTTTGCATTCAGAAAATTATTTGGGTAAAATTTAATTACTATGTAACCTTAACTTGCTTTACATTTTAGGGCTAATGTTTCTTTTTGCCGACCTCGAGGAGCAATCATTTAGACGAAAAGTCTTGCCGATCGGTTTTGAAAGAACCGCAAAGGAGGTTAAAGACTCTTCAGAGACTACAAAGGAGGTTAAAGTTAAAATTGTTAATTCGTTATCCTTGTTTTAGATGAATGCACTGATTGAATTGATTGATTGAATGGTTTGCAACTTATGGATACACCGAAGATCAATTGAAGAAATTGCCGCAAACGCATATCATTGTTCTAGCTTCTCGATTATCTATTGGTTGTAACAAAAAAAGACGAGCAACAACAAATTCGAACTCATCAGTAACTACACGCAGACTATTGATCAATTTGGAGGAGTATGTGTTTCTTTTTGATTAGTTTAAGGCTTGCAATTTAGTTGTGCTGACTAAGAGGTTATGGATTTGTTTGTTTGGATGGTTCGATGTTGATTAAAGCATTTTTGTGTGATTAAAGCATCAGTGATGGAGCATCAAATATGGAAGCATTTGGACGAAAGTTTGCTGCATGTAAGTGAAATTTTTGTTTTAAATTTAAAAATGTGTTTATAGGGTTCAGATGCACGTCTCATGCAATAAATCTGATTGCAAAACGCATTGTGGAGCTGTATCATTAACATTGAGCTGAATGACGAGGGAAACTTAGCTCTACAATCATCTAGGCATCTGCAGAAAGCCTGTAAGCGGATCACGGGAATTTTAAACCGCCAGGCGCACGAGGTAATGTTCTTAGGTGATAACAAACTATTGAATTTTTAGAGTCTTGAGCAATTCGGAAAAAAGGAATGCTAGATTCACAAAGAAGCTTCGTTGTGTTTCTGAGAAAAGATGGCACTACTATGTGGATATGATAGGTTAGAGTATTCGTAGTTATAACTTTAAACTTTTTAGAGAATATTGTTGAAAGTTTGCCACAGCTGCAAGAAGTAAAAGATGATCGAAAGTTTGCACGCAAAAACAGGAATGCTAGATGATCTTGCTCTGATTTTTGAATAGCGAAGACCACCACAAGAAGCTGTTGCTTATCTATCGACTACTAAACTACTGTTTCAGGTAGTTAATGTTTTTTATAATACAGTCGACTCTCTATAACGGAATGAAAAGTGCCGTTATATATGTCGTAGCCGATTATGAATGAAATTTTTTGGCAAATCTTTCTAGTAGAGCAAGCCTTTAATGTATGAGGACAATATTATATCATCTTGTAGCGAATTCAATTCTGCGTCGATTGGTACCAAATTTGTGAGTTTAGGTTAAAAATTGCCGGCGCTACAACGTTTCATTCAACCGACCCCGTGACCGATTATGAATGAGTGGATCTAGGAGCGTCCAACCATCAAGTATTTAGTATCATTCAACGCAGAATCATTAATAATTATGTTAAATTTTTAAAATTAGAAAGATTGGATAAAAAGGAAAAACATTATGGGGCTTCAAAGTTTTCTCTTGACAAACAGCTTTTTTGCTCTAATTTTTTTCTTTTTATCCAATCTTTCTAATTTAGAAAATTTAACATAATTATCAATGATTCTGCGTTGAATGATACTAAATACTTGATGGTTGGACGCTCCTAGACCCTACGACATAGACATTTAGAGTCGAAAATGTACCCACTTGACCATCGTTGGCTTTTTCATCCTGAAATGTTGCTCTTTCACCTCCTCGAACTCCTCAAATTCACGCCAGTTTCGCTCTCGAAACTCCTGCAAAGCCTTTTATCATCTTAAATCATCTTAAATCATCTCATCTTTTATCATCGTTTTTATATAGCAAAACTTCTCCACACCTGCCATAAGCACTTGAGCACTTGAACGACGACGAGATCACCCGAATGGTTTGCCATCATTCGCAGAATGAAAACCTGAACTTGGTTCGAGTTTTCATCGCTTTCTCTCTTTGTTCTCGTATTCTTTTCTTTACTCTTGCCGTATTTCTTGCCACAGTATGCCTAAATACTCCTAAGCCTGAACCTCAGCCTGAACCTCAGCCTGAGCCTCAGCCTGAGCCTCAGCCTGAGCCTCAGCCTGAGTCTCAGCCTCAGCCTCAGTCTCAGCCTGAGCCTCAGCCTCAGTCTCAGCCTCAGTCTCAGCCTGAGCCTGAGACTAAGCCTAAGCCTAATCCTAAACCTGAAGCCTCAAGCCTAAGCGTTTTAAGGCTAAGGCTTTTGGTTGGGTAAAACCCAACCAATAAAAGAGTTATTTGGGTTTGGTCTCAACCCGTTCCAATTACTGATCCAATACAAGTAATCATGGGGCTGAAATGTCCCAACTTGAACAGCCTCTTTGATCCGATAAAAGTACGGAAATCATAGGGCTGAAATGTCCCAATTTCCACCGTCGCCTCGATTCAATAAAAGTACAGAAATCAATTTGCAAGGATCCCCACTAGCCCAAACCCAAAATAGAATCAATTTGTGGAATAAAGACTTAGTGCGAGGCTAGCGGCTAGTGCCTATGGCCTGTTGAACCCACAGCGCGTTTGGATCAACAACATAGGGGTGGAACAATAAAAGGTGGCACTGAAAGCTACTCAAAATTTCTGTGAGTAATAAGGTAAATAATAATAACAATTAGTAATCAGAGAAATTAAGGATTGGAAAAATATTAGGTTGTCCCATAAAAAATTGCCCTTTTTTTCATTTGATTCCTATTCAGCGACAAATTAACACTTTTTCTTTCCCTTTTTTTTATTATACTAATTTAAAATTTTAGTTTCATGTGCTAAATTTTATTTTTTAGGAATCAAAAACAAAAAAAGTTGTGCTCGATCACATGACGCTGTCTCGTAAAGAAATCCATCAATAATCCATCAACGATATTTGAAGAGGATTTCCGCGGCCAAAGCAGCGAGAGAAATCAATTCTTTTATGGGCCAACAATCGTCAAGGAAAGGACTACACGATGATGGTTTCAGAAGTTCCGAAAAGGTGACAACCGGCTCACACGAAAGCGAGGAAGCGCTCGTCCCAGAAAAGTGAATCGACAGACGTTGTGGCGCCGAATTCAGCAAAATCCCGAAGTATCGACTCGGATTTTGGCACAAAGCTATTGCTGAAGAATGACAGTATGGCG